AGCGGATGAACTTCAGCGTCGCATCATCCTCTCACTATATCATGTACGGGTCAATAGTGCGGCCAAAGGACAGTCACCCCAAGAGAGTGGACTGATGAATAACGGATGGTATGGTATGCTTACTTCTATGCTTCTCAATATGCAATTTTCACTTACGACTATCTACAGGCAAATTCCATATGGAAATGGTTGTCTGGCACAATGCCCACTGGGCAACTTGGGGTCGGCAAGAACATTTTGACAATATCTTTCCGGCCTTGTACGAGAGCCTATTGCCATCGTCTCTTGCACGAGCCAAGTCTATGGGATGGGACGGAGCACGGTCCGTTCCCTTGTGCAGAATTCCCTGATTGACCACTCACAAAGTACAGGTGGCCCAAAATGACCGATATTGAGACTGGAGTCAGTTCACCTGGTGGTATCAACGGCCTTCTCATGTGGCAGCAGGTCAGTCATCTCATACAGTATACTGTATCCATCTAACAGATCAGCCCCATCCTATGTACCTTGCGACACTGGCTTACCAAGCCTCACCAACACGCAAGACTCTTGAACGGTGGGATCCTATCTTGACAGCCACTGCAGACTATATGGCATCTTATGCTTGGAAGAATGAAACTTCCGGTTACTATGATCTCGGACCGCCGTAGGTTATATTTGTCTTGACATTCGAGGACCTTGACTGATTTGAGACAGCGCATACGGCGTCACAGAAAATACTCCCCCCACGCAGAGCCTGAATCTGGCATACGAGGTCTGTCTACACTCTCATACGCTTAACAGTGCTAATTTCTGTCAAGATTGCCTACTGGCGATACGGCCTGGATGTCGCCCGCGCATGGAAGAGAAAACTCGGCCAGCGAGGGCCCGAGTCCTGGACGATTGTTGCGGAGAATCTCGCTCCTCCGCCTCAAGCTGACGGTCTTTATGCCGTCTACCAAGGCCTGAATAGCTCTAGGTGGAATGATACCTCCCTTATTGGAGATCCTCGTAGCTTGATTATGATGCAGGGCATCCTCCCCGATACACCAGCCGTGGACGCCAAAGTCGCATTGGCAACCGCCGAAAAGGTCTGGGAAGTCTGGACAGATGACAGGATTAGAGGATGGGGGAGACCTGTGCTCGCTATCAATGCTGCTCGGCTTGGGAGCCCAGAAAGAGCTATAGGTCACTTAACTGCCTATGACTATTGGATCTTCGATGATGCTGGTATGCATCCTTCTTCACTCATAGTACAAAGCTAATATTGCCCTATAGGATTCGCGGTTCGCGGTGGTGATGGTAAGTCTCTACTCTCCTGCGATTTATGAGTATGCTAACAAATATGGTGCATACAGGGGGCACTCCTCCTCCATTCATGCCAGGGAACGCGGGATTCTTGTATGCCGTGGCGTATATGGCTGCTGGCTGGAACGGATCCCACGGCGACACTCCGGGGTTCCCTTCTGATGGCAGCTGGGTAGTGAAACATGAAGGTCTACGCAAGGCGCCATAGACAGTAATCACTTGTCCTAATCTGGAGGAAGAGATGCTACACCGTCAAGAGACTTCAATTTATCCGGCCAATGAAGTATGCACCAGATATTACCACCCCGTAAACTCCCTGCCGTGGAGAATTGTAATCTCCATCTTGCACGTCTCTAGTAAGATTCAAGCAGTGATCGTCGTGATGAAACCCTCCGTACCCCAGATTGTTTCATCTCCAGCCTTGCTCCTCTCGCACGGAGCGGAAGAATGGGAAAACGAGCGGCTTTCGCACCGACATTCCGCCTCCATCCATATATTGTCATCATTGCTCCGACCAGAAGCAGCCCAGTACCCATCAGCAGTAGTCTTCAGATCAGCAACACGCAACAATCAACCAAAATGCTCCTCAAACTTACCCTCCCCCTCCTCCTTGCCCTCACCTCCTCCGCCCAAACCACCCCAACACCAACGACAACCACCCTCCCAACCCTCCAGTCAGGCTGGTACTGGATCCGCGCCGTCGAAACCCCAGCCTACCACAGCTACCTGCAGACCATCCCGAGCGCAACTTCCGGACCAGCCTATCTCGCCTCCAACACCAACGCCGGCCAATTCAACATCCTCTCCGGCCAACTAGTCTACAACACCGGCGCAGGCCAGCTGTACATGAACGTCGAGGATCCCGCCGACAAGACGCAGCGCACACTGCAGACGTGGTTCAACGAGACGGAGAACCAGTACGGGGCGTTTGCGTTCCAGGGGGATGCGGTGACGTGGAGTGTGGGTGATATTGCGCGGCCGAATGTGGCGGCTTGGTATGTTTGCGGGGACGAGGGGGGGTTGTATATCAATACGGGGAGCTATGGGTATCAGACGCCGGAGGGGTGTTATGATGAGACGGTATGTTCATGTCGTGGCTGTCTTGTTGGGTGTATACTGATGATGCTTTGTAGATTCATTCGTATGGGGGGTCAACGCCGACGGTTTGAAGTTGAGGGGAACTATATGGGACTTTTATGCATGTTGTCTCTCCTCTTTGATGCTTTGATCGTCGGGGAGATGGATTCTTGAGTATGTCGATGGCTTATGTTGATTGGAATGCCGTTTCGACGGCCTCATGGCTATACCTATGAGCACTGAGGATTGAGAGCTAGCTACAGCTATCTTTCCATTGAATAACTAATCATGACCACCAACCGGCTTAGGCACATATGGCTCCTCCAAGTATCTCTCCTCATCAGCCGTCAAGATCTTATCTTTCACTTGTAACATCTCGTCCATTCGCTCAACAGAGCTGAAGCCCACAATCGGACTGGCGACACGCTTGTTGACCCAAGACAAGGCCACCTGACCCATTGTCCGGCCCTTCTTCTTTGCCAACTCCTCCACTCTGGAGATGATCACTGCATCTGCCTCGGTCACTGCGTTCGGGTCGTTGTTCTCCGAGCGAGTGGTTCCTCGAGCTTTCGAGAGCGGACGAGCAAGTCTACCACCGTCGAGAGGAGCCCACTATTGAGACGTAACTCGTGAGTCAACCTTTTCATCAGAATAGCCATCGGGGTACTTACAGGAATCAGTCCAACGCCCGTCTCATTGCAGAAGCGATTCATCTCCCGCTCCTCCTCGCGGTAGAGAAGACTGTACTGATTCTGCATGGAGACATACTTAGTCCACCCATGCTTCTCTGCGCAATGCTGCATCATGATAAACTGATACGTCCGCATCGAGCTCGCGCCGATGTACCGCACCTTCCCGCTTCGTACGAGGTCATGGAGAGCTTCCATGGTCTCTTCGATGGGGGTGAAGGGATCGAAGCGATGAATTTGGAGGAGATCGATGTAGTCCGTACCCAGGCGTTTCAGCGAGGCATTGACTGCGTTGAAGATCGCTTGGCGGGAAAGGCCTGGAGAGTCAGTATGACATGTGATTAACAGAAACCGAGTCATATACCGAATTGATTGACGTATTCCTTGTCCTGGCGCATATCGTCGGCGAACGGGACGACATACTTGTTGTCGTGTTCGCTGACAGGTGACCAGCATTTTGTAAGAATGAGGATCTTATGCCGAGGAAGATTGTAATGTTTGATGGCCTTGCCAATGATTTCTTCCGACTTGCCGTTGGAATAGTTGTTCGCGGTGTCTCACTGTTTCAACTTAGCCACAGCTCGTCACGTAGTGCGGACGGATACTAACAGTGGTAAGACCTCGGTCATAGGCAGCTTTCAGCAAGGGCAGAGCCTAAAAATGTGTCAGTCCATTTCACGATTAACTTGAATGTCCGGGGACTCACCTTCTCCTCGTCAAGAATCCACGATCCCCATTCCGGAGAGCCAATGCTCATGCCACCGAAAATGGGCACGGAAACACGTAGACCACTCTTTCCCAGCTGACGATAGGCGACTTTCGTTTGCTCCAGTGAAGCCTTCAGCAAGGGAGGAAGCTGGGCGGCCATTTCAAGTCTTCTGCTTTGGTGTCTATATCTGCTTTCGCTGGAGTCTTCCTGAAGCAATCGCGAGGGAAATTGAGTCTAGGCTGACGATCGATATTCCTCAAGGGCATGCATCGAGCATTCTTTTATACCACAACTCTTGACATCCGGGTGTTGGACTGTGTATCTTTCTGATTCCATCTCCAGCAACCTCAATATGATGATTTCTAAGCATTGACGGCAACACAGACACCGAGTACTCTAAATGCTCGTATTGAAGCCTTTTCTCCGCGATATCTGAAGTTATCCCCGATATCAAGATGTCATTGAAGTAAGCCCAAGACCAAATACGAGATAATGCTTGGCTTTCTTGCCCCGTCGATCAAGTCATGACTCATATGGCGGGATTTCGGGCCGATTAGCGAGCTCTTGATGTTCAGAGACGTAAATCTGAGAATTGGAAAAGACGCGTAGCATATTGAGACCAGTAGCAATGCTTTCGTGCTCTAGACTCAATAGATGGTCACGCCGAAATGGCACAATGGAGAAGCTGTGAACCTTTCAAGCTTCGCAGTCTCACATATTCAGAGAATGCTACCTTGTACGGAGTATGGAGGACGATAGCCTACTACTTGTGATTGGAGGCTTGTCGCGTGGCGCGGCTTTTCTTCGGATCAACTCAGCATGGCATTCATTTCCTGTTGATACAGCTCGATAGATACTTGTTGTACACATTCGCCTGCCATGTTGAGGAGATCTCTGGGTCCAGAACGTCGAAATATTCGCCGTGACTTTCGTAAAGCTTTCTTTCATAATGATAGAAGATGAGAAAGAGGAATGTGCGACAACAAACTTCGCAAGGGAGGACTCCTGGAAGTGTAAGCAGCTTCTTGCCTAAGGCATCACAATATCGTCGATTGTCCAATCATGCCCTGATTATCATCGACCAATCAAAGCGAATCTAGTTAGTGGTAGATCACATGACCTGCCAACCGTCTAACCCGATCTAGCAATGCCCTTATCTGATAAACTCATGATAAAAAATTTCAGAAACGTGACCGACGTCTTTCATCGTCCATATCAACTCACCTACAGACATCACGATGGGTAAAGCCGCACGAGGCAAGCGCAATGCGGCCTCCAATTCTCCGTATCAGAAGCCCGGTGGTGCGCCACTCTCCAAAGCAGCCTCTGCGATTTTCAAGTTCAATACGGACATCGGCCAGCACATCCTGAAAAACCCAACAATCGCCGATGCCATCGTCGACAAGGCCAACATTCAACCGAGCCAGACGGTTCTCGAAGTCGGTCCGGGTACGGGTATCCTGACGACACGAATTCTCGAGAAAGCGAAAAAGGTCATTGCTGTCGAACTGGATCCTCGAATGGCGGCAGAGGTTACCAAAACAGTTCAGGCGACGCCTGCGGAAAAGAAACTCCAGGTTATTTTGGGTGATTTCGTCAAGACGGATCTCTCCAAGCTCCCTCCCTTCCAGATTTGCATCAGTAACACTCCTTATCAGGTATATTTCACACATGGTCCGGTGTTGTGGTGTACGCTAACGAGTCCGCCACAGATCTCCTCGCCGCTCATCTTCAAGCTCCTCTCCATGCCTAATCCCCCAAAGATCTGCATTCTCATGGTTCAGCGTGAATTTGCCCTTCGATTGATCGCCCGCCCCGGAGACTCGTTATATTCCCGACTGTCAGTCAACGCACAGTTCTTCTCTCGAATCTCGCACGTTATGAAAGTGGGCAAGAATAACTTTCGACCCCCTCCACAAGTTGAGTCTAGTGTGGTCCGAATTGAGCCCAAGGCCGACCGACCGAACATCAGCTGGGATGAATGGGACGGTATGCTCCGCATCTGCTTTGTGCGAAAGAACAAGACCCTGCGCGCTGGTTTCATGGCCACAAAAGTCCGTGCGCTGATTGAGCGCAACTGGATCACATGGGTTTCTATGCACCCAGAGAAGGTTACTCAGGCGGACATCGATTTCCTTCAGGGCAAGGATGTTTCTGCCCTGCAAGGTGCTGATGAGGATATGGATATGGGCCAGGATGGCGATGAGGCGGTCGAGGGAGGTGACGACGAGGATGATATCTTCATGGACTTGGGAGGGGACAACGATGCTCCAGTCACTGCCAGCAAGGGCCCACTCGTAGCAATCGGCGACCAGCAGGTCCCTCGGGCCATGGTGACGAAACTGATTCAAGTGAAAATCCAACGAGTTTTGGAGCAGGCCAATTTGGCGAACGCTCGTGCCCAGAAGTGTGATGAAAATAACTTCCTCCACCTTCTACATGGATTTAATACAGAAGGTATCCACTTTTCTTGAGTGAAGGGTGTTTTCCAAGTGCATTGCAATCTTTTCCGAGCCCGTCGCAGACTCATGGACTCCAGTGCCTGAGTGATCGAACTTCTCTCGCACGGCTATGCTCCTATCCCCGTTTTGATACCCTCTCTTGACGCTCCTGGGCTCGACATCGGGATATCGTCGGGTCTCAGACGATCGACATACTGTTTATTCGGCAGAGTTCATTTTTGTCAGGGAATCAGGGCGCGAGTGAAGCACGCCTCGAGGCTATACCCATGCGCACTCGAGCTTGATCTTACTTTTCTGATTCTATAATTCCACAGTTAGACTACGGAGCTATCTCCATCATCAGTAACGAAGACATGACATTTATTCAGTCTCATGCTACCAGTGCTTTCTTAGTACTTTGATAATACACTCCTATAGAGAGGTACTATATCCAGAGTAAAATACCTAGTTACTCCAACTGATATTGCCATATACAGCAAGCGGTGAATTACCCCGCGGCATATCTCTGCTTATTCATGCTGCTTACTCCTTAGAAACCATCCTTACCGCTTGCTGTAAAGGATTCCTCAGACGTGATTTGACGAATTAGACTGCTGACTGGACCATGTCAACCTGCTGATTTGCCGCTGATTGGCAGAGATTTTACAGTGTCATATAAGTTCCGATATCGCGTTTCCGTACTAGGTACTCTGTATATGTAGAAACTTCCAGATTTTAGAGAACCAGAGTTTCATTCCTATTTATTTCGAATACCTTACCATACAAAGTCAGTCAGCGCGTGTTATATGACAGGTACGAGTCCGGATTTCAACAGCTCCCGGATCCCTGTCGCTGAACGGCTTCAGTACAGCTCGATAGCTTACTCCCCATTGGTCGGAAAAGCGATATCCCTGCGCGCAACGGCCCCTTCTAATCGGTCGAAGCTCCCTTGTGATCGTTTCCGTTTGAGGAAGGTCTGAAGCTATTCGTAAGGTATCTCAGCACCACTGAAATTTCGGAATACCTGGCTACCCCAATCGATCCCATGTCCGCAACGAAGGTCCTAATCAGGCTAGATAAGCCAGATGATTGGTGGGCATGGAGCGCGTATATCAAAGGTCTCGCGAAGCGGAGAGGCGTCTGGAAATATGTTGATCCAGATGATGAGACAATCACCATCGAGGAACCCGTCGAGCCCACCATGCCTATCCCGGCAAAGCCGTTCAATCAGATGGATTCAAATGATCGATGGGCTTGGCAGCAAGAATCCAAGCTATATGAATGGTCGTACAGGATATATGAACGAGAGCGGAACGGCATGACGGCGATCTGGACGGCCATCCAGAACACTGTCAGCCAGAACCACCGTCGTATCTTGACGTTAGATATCTCGGAGAGGCAGAGGATGATCAAACTGCGAGATAAGCTTAAGCCGGATGAGCTATCCCGCGCGACAAAGCTTAGGGACCGATTCGACAAGCTGGGCGCGAAGAAGCGCAATGAGAGCGTGGAGGAATGGCTCAGCGAATGGGAAAATGTAATTGGTGAATGTGAGGACGCTGAACTGAGTCACTTTACCTCCGGATTCGCGGCTACCCGGAAGTTCATCCTTGCGATTGCCCCGCTTCTGCCAACGTACGCGAAGATTAGGGATGCGGAGCTCCATCCAGGTAGTCCTCGAAGCATCTTGGAAGAGATAAACGCCTTCCAACGCCGATGGGAGCTTGAATCAGACGATGAGAAGCAATCGAGTTTTGCAACCTTTCAAGGCCAATCCGACCAATCGAATCGTTCAAATCAGCAGCGCAAGTGCATCTGCGGTGATTTCCATCCCTTCATTGACTGTCCATATATCATATCGAGTAAGCGCCCAGCCAATTGGGAGGCAGATCCAAAGATCGAGGCAAAGTTTGAGAAGGTCAAGAAGACGAGAGAAAGCGTGAAGGCGGCTATCGAGAGAGCCGTTGAGCGAGCCAATCAGGAGGCTGGAGCAAAGCGGACAGTCCTCTGATCATTGATCAAATCGTCAAGATCCACGTACCGTGGTAAACGCAGGTATTCGAAATGAATAGGATTGAAGGTCTGATTCTTCTAATCTACCGTTCTAATCTAGCATATATAGTAAACGAAACGCGATATCGGAAATGAAACTGTAGAATCTCTGCCACCAGCGGCAAATCAGTGGGTTGTACGGAGTACCATGATAGCAATCCAGTGATTTGATCGGTCAAATCAGAATTCCTTGAGGATCTGTCCAACAAATCCCTTACCGCAAGCGGTAAGGAAGGTTGACATGACCAAGCTTCATAATCGTGATCACGGCCTAGAGATACCCCGCTCGCGATATTTTCTCCAGTCCTCTCTACTACATTGATCTTCTCCCAGAGCCCACTTCCAGCCGCACCGCACACTCCGAACGTAGTCGTACACGATAATGGCAGACAGAACACCAGCCACGACAAGCCAAAAGCCAGAAGGCGACAATACCGCGACAGCTGAGGCTCCAGCTAGCTGTACGAAAACTGTTGAGCCGAACAAGATGGTGTTCTACAACCCGACGTCTGGCAAGCGACACGAAATATATATTCCCAGAGGAAAATTTCAGAAAGCGCACGATCTCTATGTGCAGAAGAACTGGGAGGAACTGTGCAAGTTCCTGCTTACAGTATGTGCTGTCTTCTTGGACCTGATGCATTGAGAGGGTACCACTGACCTTTCAAAGCTGGCCAGGGGTATGAGGAGTGGGATTAGTGGAGTAATGGGAGTCGTTCCAAGGTTCAGGCGGAGGAGATGTCTCGGAAGCTCAGTACAAGAATGGGCAATGTCGACGGGGCAATCCACTTTATATCTACTAGTTTTGATCATTCCCAAGCATAAGTTTGCATTGATAGCTCATTCTCCATAGCTACTGAACGAGGAGACTGATCCATAGGAAGGATCAAGCCATACGGAGTACTCATAAGGCTGACGGAAACCCCACTGTGGCAGTGCAATTGGGTTACAAGGTGGGGCTGCACTGCCACACTTCCGATAAGATGAGGCCAAGGCAGCAGCCCCATTTGTTTACCTAAAAAGGATCTTGTTCTCCTCATCTTCCCAACGTACCAAACATTCTCATCCCCCAAGATTTTTATCTATCGGAGTCCGTTCAATATACATTGATATCTACTTACTTATCTCTGAAGGAAGCAGATTATTTACGCTTGTTTTCTCGTTTATCAGCCCAGTCTGTTTCGCGCAACGATGTCCGCGCAAGAGTACTATAATCCAGGCCATATTGGCGGCCCAAAGCCAGATACCCCATTCAGCGACAACACCAGCAATCGACCATGGACCCCTCCATCCTCGACTGTCACTCCAGGACCCGAAATGTCCTACTCACCAGTGGTAGACAATCGTCCTTACAATTATGGTGCCCCGCCCCCGCCGACAACCAGCTACGGGCGTCCTCAGAACGTATATCCGTCTCAGCCTTTAGAAGGTATGACTCCGGGATTTTCTTCGCAGACAAAACCACAGCAGTACGACAATGAGTATAGCAACTCTGGACCTCCGCCTTACACCCAGCACTACTATGGCTCACAACAGCCGCATCCCCCATACCCTACGCTTGACACCTATCCTGAGCGTCCGCCCACCCAGCCGCCGTATCCACAGGATCAGAAGGATCAGAAGGATGAAAGAGGCTTCATGGGAGCGGTTGCTGGAGGCGCTGCAGGCGCCTACGCCGGTCATCAGGTCCATCACGGCGTCCTGGGGACCATTGGAGGAGCGATAACTGGGTCTCTCGCCGAGGACGCGATCAAGAAACACAAGAAAAAGAAGGAGAAGAAAGAGGGCAAATGGGGCCATGGTCGCCGATCCTCGTCCTCCTCTTCGTCATCGGACAGTGATGACGGTCGGGCTCATCATCAGCAACATCCTCCTGCACAGCCCTCTTTCCGAGGCAACTTTTCCGCCTCGTCAACGGAGATTAGCCTCGAGCACCACTTGGAGCTGACGGCTAGATGCCGTTCCGTCTCAGGAGAACTGCATCGTTCGAGTATCTCATTGAACTCTGTACTCTCGAACAACTTTGGCTCTTTTGTATGGGCGCGTGGCGGTAATTTTGGAGCGTCGGCGAGAAATGTGCATCTTGCTGAAGGTGGAAGAGTACTTGATGCTGAGCTGGCGGATGGAAACGGCCACTGGAAGAGGGCATGGGTGAGATTGGATGAGCGGATCACTAACCAGAATGGGCATCTTGTATTCCTGGATTGATGTCTATGGAACTGGTACCCTACGTGCTGCAATTGAATGTTAGCTGATAGCTCCTAATGAAATCCACTTTGTAATTAACTTCAATGTCAGTTCTTAGCACGGGAAGGGACTTAATTCATCTCAATCAAAGTCAAGATCATCTCCGATCTTGCTGTTTCAACAAAAGTCTTAGCTGTTGAGAACGCCGCTGAATATCCGCATGACATGAGCCTCTTGAGCGAAAGGAATGCATTTCTCAAGTCACTCAGACAATTCTCATTTACTACTCAGAAGTGAGAAATGAGCACATCTTACCTCTACCTTAGCAAACAGCATGTGTCATGTGACTGCGCGTGTCCCAACCTGAGGTGGTTCTTGTGTTTGTTCTTTTTTCCACTTCGCAAATCACTCAAAACAAATTCAGATATCCTGCATCCGAATCAGATTCTGTCAGATAATGGACGCGCTTCCCACAGAGCTTCTAACCATAGTCCTCCATCATCTCTATGACGAAAACCAGGCCCCAAATGCTGTCAAGGATTTACCGGATGGATGGGAGTCCGGAAGTCTCGCAACATATACAGTTGTTTCACGCAGATGGCAAGCAATTCTCGAGCCGATGATATGGAAGCAGATTGTCATACTCAAGCCGGACGCCCTGGAAAGGCTAGAGGAATACACTTCTGACAAGCCACATCGGATCGCGAGAATTAAATGGGTGAGACGGATTCTCTGGGAGCCATATGTCAATTTTGCGCTCGCAGAGAGGCTTCGCGAAGGGATGAAAGACTATCCCAAGGCGCTGGCTTGTGTTCTCCCTTACCAATATCCCAGTTTATATCGTCAGGCATTCGCGGGTATCTTCCGCATCTTAGGCCGATGGGAGTCAGAATGCGACGATTCGATGGTTGAGCTATTTCTTACTGTGGAGCATTTGGAATGTCCTCCGAAGTTGTCCCTATCAGAATGGAATTGGGATGTTGAGGACGCCACTGTTGAAGAACTTTGGCGGATGGACTTGATAGTCCACCTAGTGCATCTCACGACACAAGACGCTTCAGCATATCCTATACTACGCAACGTCAGATCACTCAGTCTTGAACCTTGCATGACCAACATGCGGCCTTCGGCATTCTTTCAGCTTCTGAGCCGATTACCCAACGTTCGCCATGTTTCAGCCGGAGAAAGTGTCTTCATACTACCATTTGCACTCCGTGCCCTCCGTGCGGAAAGACGACGTTCGTATATTCCCTTCTCAATGACTATTATAACTGTGCTTGAGGGATACTGACGACCTCCTCTCAACTAGAACTTGTTCATTGTCTTTCTCTAGTGCCGCTTTCCGTCGAGGAGTTCGAATATGAGATTGCACCGGAACGCGAAATGTCATGGACGCCAGTCCAGGATGCAGCCAATTATCTGTCGGTCAGGGGGCTGGATAAACTCTCCATTGCGTTTCGAACACTCTCCATGCGACTGAGAGTTCTTCGTCTGAACAATGTTCGGGTCAACAGTGAACTATTTTGGGCATCACCCGAGGAAGATAGTGTCATCTCTGATACACTCCACTGGCCGGTGCTGGAGGTCATTGAAATAACCGACACGCCCCCATATACAGCAGACGGTATGTTCTGACGGCATGGAGGTACTGCTTCACGTCACGCTGACTCAATCAGGGAAATGGATTCTCGATAATGATCCCGACAAAAAGGCATTTATGGAAATGGAAGATTTTGACAGTGGATGGGATTACGAAGAAATGGGTTTTAACACACGAGGACTGATTAGAAGTGACGAAGTTGACAAGCTCTACTCAGCAATGGGCAAGGCTGCGCGGAGAATGCCACGGCTGAGATATCTTGAGTTCAGGTTCCGTGGTGAAACACCAACACAAGAAGACTGGGAATGCTTGATATTCTTCCAACATTCAGAGACAGGAGAGGCTGGTTTAGCGATCTGCACTGAGTGGAAATATAACCTCGGAGAAGAGGTCATCGCGGCATGGGGCCTGGAGGGTGAAAAGGCCAAAGAATTCCGGACATATTGGACAATCCAACTCGATCACTGGCCTTCGGTAGAAACTGGCATTAGGAGGAAGGAGATCTAGGCACATCCTGCATGAGGCCAGTCGAGTTTGCTGGAGCTTGAGGCCGTTGGGCGGTCCTTTCAGTCTGGTCGCTTAGTTGCATACGACGGTGCATATGACAAAGGTTACTTGCCCCGAAGAAACCCTTATGTATCCCAAGAGGACAATCAAAGTACCACTCTGAAAGGGAAGCGCGATGATATTATCTTAGATCAGAGAATGGGCTTTGAACAATGTGTAGAGAATTTTATCACATACCAGCTGCTGGTGAATAGCTCATTAAGCCCAGCATAGTCCCTTTCTAGACTTTTATAGCTTTCTGTGAATGTATCCTGACTTCCAGCACAAGGTCACCTGCCATATTCACTGTTCAGTTTATTTGTGACTATCCACTACTCTTGTCTCCTTTCCCACCCCTTTTTACCTCTTCTATCACTCTCTCTGACCACTGTTGCATGCTCACTTCCTCATCTGCTGCACTCATTTCCTGACATTTAAGCACAGCAAAGAAAGACACAGTCTATACGATAGCAGCATGGACTCGTTTCAAATTACACTTAGGGTAAGTTCTTCCATAGCTTGTCTTCTTGTCGTCTTCTTACCAGAAGAGCAGAAACTAGAATTCCAAAGTTCGAGTGCTTTCAACAGCTCTTCCAAGCTACAGAGCCTTCAGATCTCATAAGGAAGCTTTTCACAGTTTTCTGGAAAGCGACATTTTCTGAATGCGGTTTGCCTGAACTTACCAAGACGGAAATTGAGTATTGTTCTTTGGATCAGCCTTATGATGGCAGGGGAAAAGGCTGGTTCGAAAGCTGGAAAAGCTCTCTAAAATCTGAAGAGTGCACTGAACCTAAAGGAGCTATTTTCGAAGATAAACCTACGCGAGGATGACCAGAGCCAGCAGATTCTTACTCAGAAACGGAACGAACGGTCTCGCAAATGCAAGTGCCTAGGAGCCAGGCCAGGTGATTCTCTAAATATCGGGTTGCAGGACATGACGCGCGAGGAGATCAGGGAGGTCCTGGATGCGGCCAGCGGTGCGTTGACTTCAAGTGGTATTGACTATGGACTTGCTGTTGCTCTGCTGGATCTTTGACGCGCGGATAACAAGCTCTGCAGCTCCTTATTTCTCGACGTATAACCCAGGCTTACATGCCGGGGCATGCCAGGGGACATTATCTTCAAGTGGTGAGCATGGACATACCGATCAATAGTATCGGAGAGAAGGACAAGGAGGTCTGGCCTGGTTCCTTCGCCGCAGCCAGAAGGCTGCAGGAACAGATACTGACTGCTAAAGGTGTACATGACAGGGATCGGCCACGAATCAGTCCCTGCTCTGACCCAGATTGCGGTCAGGACTTTGTTTACAATAACCATCCGTCATGAGACGCGATACGCTCAAGACGCACATTAACTGAAAACACAAGGATGTTCGCAGAGGACCGGATACCGTCAATGATGCCAGACGAGAACCTTCTGGACAGGCCCAGCCTCCAAGAAGGTGGTCGCGAAATTAACCAAGGTACGCATCAAATGACGCTATATATCGTTTTGTTCCTATGTTTGAACATTTCCCAGATTATGCCTGTTGTTTGTTTTACTTCAAGGTCTCTAGGGCTTTATCACTGGACTTTCTCGTACCACATCATGGATGAGCAGTAAGAGATCATACCTACACCTAGGAACTACTATGTTACACTCAGTTGTCAAGACACCTTTTTTAGCTCAGTAGAATATAGTTGACAATTGCTTGCGTACCCAAAATCGAAAGTGATAATATTTAGTCCCTTGTCTACCGCTCTTCCAAGGAAACTATAGAGAATAAAAGTAAGGAATAGTCTTAAGACCAGATATAGTTACCCTATCCATTGATGACTAATAAGAAGCATTCCTTCATGAGTATCCAGGGAACGCGATACCTCCATAAGCTCTATCAAGGCGCCCTCAATACGGTTATCAACATCACAGATTATTCTCATCATCTGCACGCTCAGCTACACAGCTTTTAAGGCAAGGGCAGATATAATTTATATAGACAATAATTATAGGATGGTAAAAGCAGCTACAACTTTGTCCACGCTCACAATATAAGGACTTTGTAAGAGAGTGACCCTAACATAAAAGCTAGTGAATATGAGCGGAGTGCAACATCTCGCAGACTTGCCCCAACACAATTATCCCACTTTCATCTCCCTCTGTCATCACTGCAAGCATCGTTTTGTCTCCTTAACAAGACCAAGATTCGCATCTGAGGAGACCTCAGACAATGAAGTCGATAAGCTCTCTCCCCTGCGAGATCATCGGCCTCATTCTTGCAAGCTGCGAGAGCTTTGCTCAGCTACGCGACGCGATCTTGACTTGCAAATTATTTTACTCAGCATGGAAGTCCCATACAGGGTCAATTCTATGGCAGATCGGCCAATTTGAGATCGTAGAGTTCACGGACGCGTTGATGGCAGTCAGTGCTTTTCTCATTCTCTCCGCTCGTGCTGGAGTAAACCGGTCCTCGCTAACGAACGATGAACTTGTAGGTGAGAGCGACAGAGATTGCAAAGCAAGCGATTCTAAAGGGAGATCTCCCACCATCTCCATTCCCACTGGGCGAGCTGAGTGGAGAGGTCCGCAAGCCAACACTGGATGAGCTCAAAGTTCTGTTCGATTTCCGGCATTTGGTCGAGTGTCTTGAACGGCTTGCCAAGAAGAACAGTAACCCATATTGGTATGAATGCATCGAAAGTCTCGAGCCAGAAGACAGGATCAAAGCATGGATGGTGTGGAAGGAGCGCTTGCACGTCGCCTTGTATCGAGGCTTTCTTTCCGGCGCTGCGCTGTATCGTGCGTACCAGGAGCCTTTAACTCTGGCAAGCACTTGCGGTCTTCGGGGTTTCCTGGCCAAATTCCGGAGAAATATGGAAAATGGGGAGGATGAACATGATGATTATGGCGATGACCCTTTCACACCGGCTGAGAAGCGCTATCTGCTCCAGTATCCCATATTCAAATTTGAGGAATTCCAACAGCACGGGCATATATTCCAGCCTCTGGCGGACATCTTCGTGCAGGAGAGCAAGAGAAAGGCCAAGGTGGTGAATACATTGGAAGGCGCAAATCTGTATGAGCGGTACGGGGCACAGCAGTATGACCCTGCTGTCCTCGAAAGAAGCCATGCACAGGCGCTCTTCCATCAGCTCATGCAGTTTGTGTTCGTTGCGCATAGTGCGACGCTCGAAAACATAATCCGAAATGAGGATGGAAGCGAGTATCACCTGAGGAGAAATGAACCAACACCCAAAGAGATGTCTGGACGTCGCCGTACTGTCACCGTTATCTTTTTCGACGTGCTTAGCCTCGAGGAGATTATCATGCCAGAGAATGTGGAAGATGCAGTCGAGACGTTTGTACTTGCACGTCCTGGTCTCGAGCGTCCTGTGGTCGACAGGGCTAACTTGCCCGGACTCGACTATGCGTCCCGCAATCTTCGGCCCTTACTCCACGAGATGAAATGGTTCTCTGGCCAGCCAAATTGCTATTGGCCCGACTGTGGGACGCCTCCTCCCGACTTTCAGTTTGTGCGATACATGCTGTCGAAATACTTCCGACTCCGGCTCAAAGATGACACGTGGGATTGGGGGAACAGCCGCAACCATGAGCTGGCCTGGTGTAAATTTAGGATTAGCGGTGACGTCTTCTGTGAGCGTATTCTGGCGGACGAATTTGAAGGCGCTTGTGCGCTCTTGGAGTCAATCAATGCTCCCCTTCCTGAGGCTTATTTTGTTCCTGGTTCTTCCTGGCCATGATACATGTATTCAAACTGGATTTCTCACTCGAAGATATGATGGAATCATTCTATATCATCAAGATCGCTTCGAGTCTCATCTGGGGAGGCATAAAAAAGGCGTCATTAATGAATCCGCTACACTGAATTTATAATCAAGAGCAGATGCTGGTCATTAGTAAGTCAAGTCTTCCCATCTCCTAACGAGGTGGCATGTGCGCTCTACGAATACGATTATACGAGGTTGCTCGAACTATTGCCGTCGATCCATAAAAACGGGAAAGTTTTCAGATAAGGTTAAGGTATTGAGGTCGAATACTCCCTACTTAACCAATCAACTTCCTTCATCCGAAAGTATTGCATTTCTAGTGGCAAATCTGACTCCACTGTCGTTGGCCTGAAGAGGCAAGCAATACGGATACGGAGAGGCATCGACATGCAGCAGCCGGCTATAATTATTCATCTGCCTGATGACTTACGACGATATCTCGTCCGTCTTACTTGTCTCTTTTCCATTCTCTTCTGGCAGTAAACGCAGAACCATGGGAAGACCAGAGACACGTGCGCAACCCTCTGAGAGCGATGGACCTCCACCGTATTCAACCGTGGATGGTGAACTCGTTGCGGAGTCGGCTGCTGTTCGAGGTAAGTGAACGACGATATCCAGTAGTATATCGCTAATTGGACCAGCCGATGGAAGGATTGACGTTCATTTGAACTCGAGAATTGCCCGCACGCTCGCTCAGATCATCGAGCTGCAACAGGAAGACATCCACAACCCACCTCCCGAATATCAGCAAGAGCTCCAACAGCAGCAACAAGATCATCAACTAAAACCCATCGAATGCAACATCCTCCTCAATATAGTCATCCAGATTGTTGGCAGCCGCGGCGACGTCCAGCCCTTTATTGCCCTAGGTACCGAACTGCAAAAGCACGGTCATCGCGTCCGTCTAGCCACACATGATGTTTTCGCAGATTTTGTGAGGTCCTCCGGGCTCGAGTTCTACCCTATCGGCGGTGATCCAGCGGAACTTATGGCCTTTATGGTGAAGAATCCCGGCCTCCTACCGCAGATGGACAGCCTCCGCGGCGGCGAGATCCAGAAAAAGCGAGCCATGGTTGCGACGATGCTTGACGGGTGCTGGCGTTCGTGCATCGACGATGATCCGCTCACCAAGGTCCCCTTTGTAGCGGATGCGATTATTGCGAATCCGCCCAGCTTCGCGCATGTGCATTGTGCGCAGGCGTTGCAGATCCCGGTGCATCTGATGTTTACCATGCCGTGGAGTAGCACGACTGCTTTTCCCCACCCATTGGCGAATCTGCGGCCGTCAGATATGAGTCCCCGGACGGCGCATTGGGTTTCGTATGGTGTGGTGGAGTGGTTGACATGGCAGGGGTATTGATTTCCTGTCTGCATGCAGTCCATATAGCTGACAGGGACTAGGTTAGGTGACGTGATCAATCGATGGCGAGCCAGTATTGACCTGGATCCCATTCCCATGGCCGAGGGGCCAAGTCTGGCAGAGACGCTCAAAATCCCTTTCACCTACTGCTGGTCTCCAGCTCTGGTACCGAAACCAAGAGACTGGTCTGAACATATAGGTTAGTACTCTATTGCAGTCTACACAAATATACTCATAACTACAGATGTGTGTGGCTTCTTCTTCCGGCAACCGCCATCATACCAACCGCCACCAGATCTACGGCAATTCCTTGCTTCAGGCCCACCACCTGTCTACATCGGCTTTGGAAGCATCGTTGTGGACGATCCGCAACGCCTGTCTCATACCGTATTGCAGGCAGTGGCTGAGTCCGGTGTTCGTGCCATCGTCTCACGAGGTTGGAGCAAGTTGGCTGGAGACGGGAACCCCAACATCTACTTCATAGGCGACTGTCCCCACGAATGGCTCTTCCAGCACGTTTCGGCGGTTGTCTACCATGGAGGTGCTGGGACGACCGCCTGTGGACTTGCCAACGGGAAGCCAACGGTCGTCGTACCTTTTTTTGGAGAGTGAGTTCGCCTTTTTCTTCGTCTTGGGCACGGGCTCACTATTTAGTCAACAATTCTGGGGCAGCATGATTGCAAGGGCTGGAGCAGGCCCATCTCCCATTCCGCACGCCACACTTAGCGTTCAGAATCTGGCCGACGCTATTCGGTTCTGTCTGAGGCCACAAACCGTTGCTGCTGCGCGTGAAATTGCCGCCAAGATGCAGTACGAGTCGGGCGTCACTGCCGCCGTACAGTCCTTCTACCGTCATCTGCCGCAGGAGCGGATGAAGTGCCAGGTATTCCCAGACCAGGTTTCCGTGTGGAAATACGTAAAGTACAAGCGCGAGGTTCGATTATCCAGGAAAGCGGTGCAGATCCTCATCGACCACCTGAAGATTGATCCAAAGAATCTCCGCTGGTGAGTCTGCCTCTCCGAGTTGCGTCGCAACACTGACTGGCCAGTTACGACATCAAACCGATCATCATCGAGAACCGCCGCTGGGATCCCGTTACTGGCGTCTTCTCCGCAGCAGCAGGCACCGGCACTGACATGCTCAAATCCACCGCGAACATGTTCTACAAACCGTACAAGGAACTCGCCCGCAGTAGGACCAATGTCTCCTCCGATGGCGAGGAGCGCCACCCCGTTGCCACCGCGGGGGCCATGGCAGGGCAATTTGCGAAGAGCTTCGGACAGTTCCTAGGGACGTACACCAAGGGTGTCGTTGTGGATATTCCGCACGCGGCGGCGGAGGGATTCCGGCAGGTCCCGCGCCTGTATGGCGAACAGCCCAAGGACTACGGGGGGGTGCAGGATTGGAAGTCCGGGGCTACGGTTGGGGGGAAGAACTTTGTGGATGGTATGGCGGAGGGGTTCTCGGG